TCGACAGTGCTACGACTCGTAGCATTCTAAAAAACAAATGTTATTTCTCCCACCTGAATATGGGAAAGACCACAATTGTTACTATCAATGGTGTATCGAAAATGATTGAAGGCTCAGGAAAAGCTACTGTATTTCTCCAAAAAGGGACAAAAATGGCAATTGAAAATGCCTTGTTCTCGAGCAAAGCTCGAAGGAACTTACTGAGCTTCAGTGATATTGGGAAAAATGGGCATCACATTGAAACATTGAATGAGGTAGAAAATGAATATCTTCTGATAACTCAGGTTGTGAATGGCAAAAGAATTGTGAAAGAAAAATTGTCATCATTTTCTTCCGGCTTATATTACTAAAAAATCAGTGCCATTGAAACATATCACCTAGTAGACCAAATGGCTACTAGCGAATTTAAAACTTGGCACGATCGACTTGGGCATCCTGGCAATATAATGCTGAGGCGAATTGTTGAAAATTCAAATGGCCACTCATTGAAAAAGAAAAATATTTTGAGTCCGAATGAGTTTGCTTGTGCTGACTGTTCCCAAGGGAAGTTAATAATCAGGCAATCTCCAACAAAGGTTAGATTTGAATCCCCAGCTTTTCTGGAAAAGAATTTAGGGTGATATTTGTGGACCAATAGATCCACCGTGTGGACCTTTTAAGTACTTTATAGTACTAATCGACGCGTCAACGCGATGGTCACACGTATGTCTGTTATCTACTCGCAATCTAGCTTTCACTAGACTACTTGCACAAATAATTAAATTGCGAGCACAATTTTCAGATCATCCGATAAAGAAAATACGTCTAGATAATGCTGGAGAGTATTCATCAGATACATTTGATGATTACTGCATGTCTATTGGGATTACTGTGGAACATCTTGTTCCCCATGTACATACGCAAAATGGTCTGGCTGAATCTCTTATCAAAAGATTGCAATTAATTGCTAGACCATTATTGATGAGGTCTAAACTTCCTGTATCATGTTGGGGACACGCTATATTGCATGCAACAGCCCTCGTGAAAATAAGGTCGACAAGTTATCACTGTTATTCCCCTACTCAATTGGTTTCTGGAAAAATACCAAATATATCCCACCTTCGAGTATTTGGGTGTGCTGTTTATGTGCCAATTGTACCACCTCAACGCACGAAAATCGGACCTCAAAGAAGGTTGGGTATATATGTCGGATATGAATCACCCTCGATCGCAAAATATCTTGAACCAACAACGGGTGATTTATCTACTGCGAGGTTTGCAGACTGTCATTTTGACGAATCACATTTCCCGACATTAGGGGGAGACAGTAATAAACTGAAAAAAGAAATTTCGTGGAAAATACCACTTGAATTTGATCCTCGTACGAAACATAGTGAACTTGAAGTTCAAAGAATTGTGCATTTGCAAAAAATTGCAAATCAATTGCCTGATGCTTTTAATGATGCTGCCAGAGTTACGAAATCATATATTGCAGCAGCAAATGCACCGGCTAAAATAAATATCCCAGAAGAGAAAGTGCCGAGTGCTAATGAGCATACTGCCCGCGTAAAACGTGGCAGACCGTTAGGTTCCAAGGATAAGAATCCACGAAAGAAGAAAATTGTAAATACTGGTGAAGAGATCAACAATGATCTGATACCTGAAAAGGTCAGTATAACCCCTGAAGAGGTTGATACTAAAAATGCTGATGAAAGTGATGATGAAGTTATTGAAACTTCCGTTAACTATACCACCAGTGGAAAATATTGAAACAGAAAGAAAACAAATATTAATAATGCATTTGCATATTCTGTAGCACTCGATATAATAAAAAATGACGAGGATTGTGAACCAAAATCAGTTGATGAATGTCGGCAAAGAGATAATTGGGAAAAATGGAAAGACGCAATTAAATCTGAATTGGACTCAATAAAAAAACGGCAAGTATTCGGCTCTATAGTCCAAACACCGGAAAATGTGAAACCTATTGATTACAGATGGGTGTTTGTGAGAAAAAGAAATGAAAATAATGATATCACAAGATACAAAGCAAGGCTTGTAGCCCAAGGTTTTTCCCAGAGACCGGGTATTGACTTTGAAGAAACATATTCGCCGGTCATGGATGGAATAACATTCAGGTATCTTGTGAGTCTAGCAGTACACAATAATCTTGATATGTGATTAATGAATGTGGTTACTGCCTATCTTTACGGCTCCTTAGACAATGATGTCTATATGAAAATCCCAGAAGGGATTAACATACATGAATCATTCAAATCAAATCCAAAAGAATCATATTCCATCAAATTACAAAAATCTTTGTATGGGCTCAAGCAATCGGGCCGAATGTGGTACAATCGTCTCAGCGAAAACTTAACAAAAGAAGGTTACATAAATGACCCTATTTGTCCATGTGTTTTCGTAAAAAAAAATGGGTCAGGATTCGTAATCATCGTTGTATATGTCGATGATCTCAATTTAATTGGAACTCCTGATGAAATCCAAAAAGCTGTTGTATATCTGAAAATGGAGTTTGAGATCAAAGATTTTGGAAAAACTAAATTTTGCCTTGATCTGCAAATTGAGCACTTGGAAAGTGGAATCTTCATCCACCAATCAAATTATACCAAAATGGTACTGAAATAATTCATGATGGATAAATCACATCCGCTAAGTACCCTAATGATCGTCAGGGCACTCGATCCAGCAAAGGATCCTTTTAGACCAAAAGAGAAAAACGAAGAAACACTTGGCCCTTAAGTGCCATATATGAGTGCTATAGGTGCATTGATGTATCTTGCTAACAGCATCCGACTTGATATATCATTTGCTGTAAATTTATTGGCAAGATTCAGCTCATTACCTACTCGACGACATTGGAATGGGATTAAGCACATTCTTCGCTATCTCCAAGGAACAATTGATCTCGGGTTATTTTACTCGAAAGATTCTCGACATGAATTAATTGGTTTTGCCGATGCAGGATATTTATCTGATCCTCATAAAGCCAAGTCTCAAACTGACTATATATTCACCTATAGCGAAATAGTGATCTCTTGGAGATCGATGAAACAAACTTTAACTGCCACTTCTTCAAATCATGCTGAAATATTGGCAATACATGAAGCTAGTCGAGAATGTGTTTGGTTGAGATCAATTACTCAACATATACTAAAAAATTGCGGGTTAATATCCGACGATAAAATCCCCCCGACCACATTGTATGAAGATAATACAACATGTATAGCTCAATTGAAAGTGTGTTACATTAAAGGAGATAGAAGGAAACACATTTCACCAAAATTCTTTTTCACTTATGATCTTCAACAGAATGGTGAAATTGATGTGCATCAAATTCGATCCGATAATAATTTGGCGGATATATTAACCAAGGTGTTGCCGACGGCAACATTTGAAAAATTGGTGAAGAAAATTGGGATGCGTCGGTTAAGAGATCTCAAATAATGCTCGGATCAGGGGGAGTAAATTGATACAAGAATGTTGTACTATTTTTTCTTCACTAGAATTTTTTTGTCCCACATGATTTTTTTTTCTAATAAGATTTTAACGAGGCACATTATTTGTATAAAGCATTAAGGGGGAGTATTGTACACATAGTGCTTTGTGCACAATATCGTGGATACTACGTGGGTCATGCATATCCTCTTACTCACTCAATCTTGTAATATAAATATGGGTTGAATTGATGAAATAAATGACCACCTTCAATTTTTACTCTATCAATTTCTATCTCTTTACTTTCTCTCTCCATTGTTAATATTTCCACCTTCACATAAATCCTCATTAGTACACACATACATATATATTATATAATATATTATATATACACTGGCATACATACATACTACATACATACATCTATATATTATACAACACACATACACACGGCTGCACATACACATATATACATATATATACACTCGCTTATATGTTATATACAGTATATAATATAATACAAAATATAAAATAGTAATTAGCAGTAAAGATAATTAATATTTTTATTGACTATCCCTATAATAATATCACAACAATAATATATTTTTTAAAGTCTGTATCCGAAAGAAATGAAACATACTGTGAATTTTTTTCTTTATTTTTTTATTTTTTATTTTATTTTTTATTTTCCTATTTCTTCCTTCATTTCATTCGCACTCGCAAACACCCAAAACTTCCCCTAAAAGTATCCGTTATAATGTCTGTGTTGTATTACATTTTTTTTTTTTATCTCTATTCTAACATTCAAATTACTTCTTTTATTGTTCTTTATAACATTATTATTTTTACCTATTATCTTTACAATTTTATAAAATTCATCATAATTATTAATTTTTATATATTTTTATTATCTAATAATATATAAATAATATTTATTATGTAATATTATATTTTATTTTTAAATATTAATTTATATAAATTATAATAATATTATATAAATTTTTATAGTATTATGAAATATTAAAATTATTCGAATTTATAAAATTAATGTCCATTCAAAATCTGAATGATTGAAATAAGTTCGGATTAATATATTGCCAAAATTTTATTTCCCATGATTTTATTAAAGAATTAGTTGAAAAGATATTGAATATAAAAATTTTAAAAGTTAAAATTGGATATATAATTTTTTTTTTTGATAAATATATAGATGAGTCGTGATTTTTTTGAAATAAATTTGAATTTATATTTATATAAATAAATTATTGATAATTTTAAAATTTTAAATTTTAAGTTATAATTAATTAAATTATTATTTATTTATTTATTTTATAAAAATAATGAATTCTTAATAAAAATAATAAATAATTATTAATTGTATTTCTTAATAAAAGTAATATATCTTATTATAATAAAAAAAAATGTAAGAAAGTAATAATGAAGGTAATAGAAAAAGTTATTGTAACAATGCTCTAATACACTCCAGGGTCCACAGCCAAAGTGAAGGGGGCGACTAGCCTAAATATGTATATATGTATTTCGTACGTTGGATAAACCCTACATAAACCTGTACCATTCCCCCTTCTTCCCAACGCCCCCAATTGGAAAACCCTATTTTCTTGTTCCTCAAGACATGGTTCCTGCATTTTAAATTCCTCTACTTACACACTCTAGCAAATAAGAGCCGTATCGTCGTCTGCTCAATCATTTTGATTCGATTGAACTGAGTTTAGAAAATGGCCAAGAATTGTGCATCCGGGATTTTGGCGTATGTAGCTTATGCAGCTCTCGGCGTTGATCATGCTCACGCGGATGGGCCCTTTAATTTTTCTCCGTTCACTAATTCGCCTCCGGCGGCGTCACGGGATCCGCCGCCGGCTCCTGAGCCTTCTAAGCCTCCTCCATCCCAGCCGGCGGAGCCAGAGGCGCCGCGGGTTCGTAATGATAACCCCAGGACAACCTCTGCTGGTTTCGACCCCGAGGCATTAGAGAGGGGAGCCAAGGCGTTGAGAGAGATTAATAGCTCTTCACATGCTAAGAAGGTACCGAAATTTTGTCATTTTCAGTTAATGGAAACTGTAATTTGGGTGATTTGTGGCTCATTTTTGCGAACTTGGAGGGACTTTTTGTGTGGGTAAGCGTAGTGGTGGCATGATTCAAGTTTTTACAAGCTTATGTTGTCAATTGATATCTGTGAAGTTAGTATTTCGATGTTTGCATTTATTGTTGTTTGCGCAATTTAGATTAATTATATGAGCAATTTACTTCTTGTAGGTGTTTGAGGTGATGAAAAAACAAGAAGAGACGAGGCAGCAAGAGTTAGCTGCAAAAGCGACAGAGTTCAAGGCATTGCAAGCTCAAGCTGAAACTGTATGATTTACTTGATGAATCCTGTTGTCTTGGATGATAGCTGTTTCAGATTTTCAGTGAATCAAGTAGATGCAGGATAATGTTAGATGCTTATGGTTTTGATATGGTTGATTGATATTGTCACTTGCATTTGCATATCTATCTTTCTACTAGTTTTTAATTGAAAAAAAAAAAAGGCGATATGCTTTACTTCTTTTGCTTGGTTTGAATTGTTCTGTTCCTTGAGGGGCTGCTTGATGTTCTTGTGTTTGTAGTCTAAACTCGTGTTGAATGATAGACCACCTTTGATCCAGGCATTACTGCTGTTTTTATAACCTTGTTTGTTGTAAGAGTTGACATTGAAACCTGTCATTATGCTCTGTTCTTGTCTGGTCACTAGATCTCGATTATGTCTATTTAGGGACAGATGTCTTCTGTGTTTGTCAAATTTATTAGTTTTGTTACTAGATATGCAGATAGAAAATGAAATTTAGTGGTGAATGCTCTGAAAATTTTGTTGCACTCTAGTGATTTTATGTTTTTGTGATGTGAATAGTCACAATTGCATGTACTTTCTTAGCACATGTGATAAAGGTTGTCAACTATCTTTTTTAATCTGGATAATCATGGCCATTGAAGATCCAAACATATTCTGAAGAGTTAATGGCATTATCAAGCTACCGTGATGTCAAAGTTCTAGCAGATCAATAATGAGATGGCATACATGTACTAAAATTATTATTTTTTCCATTTTATCTATTGATCAATTCAAATGTGGCTTTCAAAACGTGACAGGAGAGACAAAGGGTGATATATGATGAACAGAAGAAGTTAGCTCAGCAACAGGCACAAATAAAGTCACAGATGGCTCGGTATGAAGATGAATTGGCGAGAAAAAGGATGCAGGTAGGTAGGCCGTCTTCTGGGCTTTGTATGAAGTACAATTTTGAGTTTCAGTAAATGATAGTTCATAAGAAACTGTGTTTTTGTAGGCAGAAAATGAGCACCATCGAGCAAGAAATCAAGAGCTTGTCAAGATGCAAGAGGAATCAGCTATGAGGCAGGAGGCTGCAAGGAGAGCAACTGAAGAGCAAATTCAAGCACAGCGTCGCCAAACTGAAAGAGAGAAAGCAGAGATAGAACGAGAAACTATTAGGGTGAGAGCTATGGCTGAAGCAGAGGGAAGAGCCCATGAAGCTAAGCTTGCTGAGGATGTTAATAAACGGATGCTAGTAGAACGTGCTAATGCAGAGCGAGAGAAATGGGTTGCTGCAATTAATACAACGTTTGAACACATTGGAGGTTTGTTTTTCTTTTTATTTTTTAACTTATACAATTTGGTTTTATTTATGAGAATAAAATGAATGAAAAGCTGGCTGTGATTAAAAAGCTTGTGTCTGCTAATGGTTTTTTTTCCTGATTCTCACCTTCTGCTTCCTTTGTGTCTGAATGTTTTCCTCTTGAAGTGCTATGTTTAATGAAGGTTGTATGCTAGTTTTTATTTATTTGATGATAAATTAATAATCAACTGAGTGCATAAAGTTGTATGTGGTCACATGGCGTACACCAGAACTAAACTAAGTTTTATAGGTTCTTGTATATGTTGCTTTGGCATTACTAAATACAGCTGTAGAGAACACTTTGAAAATTAAAGTTATTCGTTATATATTATGTAGAAAAAAACGTGTATTATTTTACTTCCCTTAAAAATTTATTGTGTGAATATCTTTTATCTAATACATAATTCGGTACTCAGTGGTCATATGGCACAGGCCGGCCCGTGCACCTTGACCTTCCATGTATTATTGACAAAATGTGTGTAGAATCACGTAATGATATAGCCAGTTGAATTATATAGCTAATAATCTGCTTTTGAATTTGAGGTAACATTGATGTATTTTGGATGATCTAATATTTTTCTACCAATGTTTGTTCCCTTGTCCAGACTTCCCATCTGATCATTTTCTATAAAATTCAGGTGGCCTGCGAGCAATTTTAACAGATCAAAATAAGTTGGTTGTAGCTGTGGGGGGTGTAACTGCCCTTGCTGCAGGAGTTTACACTACAAGGTACTGTGCTATGATTTATAGATGGGTGTTGTTGACAGCAACTTCTTGTTGTTTATGTTTTTTTTTTTTTTTAATTAATTAAATATTATTTTATGCTTGTTTTTCTTGAGTTAACATGCTGCAAAATGATTACTTGGAGCAGTGTCAGAAATTTTGTTTCTTGTTGTGTAGAACTATATATGAATAAAAGATTCCCTTATTAATCTACCAGTTGCAGATCTTATTCCTACTGATTGAGTTCATGTTGTTGAATAGTGCATATAGTTGCATCTGATGATTTTCCACAGCTGCGTTTAGTTCCATAATTTCAATGTAGTTGGGTGAGAATGCCTTGTTCCATGTGAAACAAAGATGAATATTATTTGGAGTACATTGCGTTTGTTTCACGGTTTGAATTTGAGTTTGGATTTTTGAATAATAGATTTTTGAATTTTAAGTAGTTGTTTGATATGTTATAAATGGGTATCGACATGATATTTTGAATATAAAATTAATTTTTAGTATAACATAAAAGACAAAAAATAAGCGTTTGATTTGATGTTTGTGGATGAAAAAAATTAATTGAATAGTGAAAAATCTTGAAAAATCCACCAAAGAATGACCGTTGATGATGCAATGGTGAATGAAGCCTGGATTTTGAACTTCGATGGCAAGGAGCGTATGAAGCTGTCATATTCTTCCATTTGACATTTGTTTCGAAACCTTAACGACCTTGCACTCATTACATTCATCTTTTCTTTTTTGGGTACCCTGATAGCTGTTAGATTTATATTTTCTTAAAAATTAAGTTATAACTAAATCATATTTGTCTCTCTCATGCCTATATCTCCAATTTTATTCTCTTATGTTCTCGAGTCTTAAACTTATATGCTAGTGGATTTGTAAATATGGGATTGACAACTCTATTAAAATATATTTTAATGGTTTGGGAGATAACAATATTCTTTTTGCAATTAATCCTAGTGTCTCTTTTCGATTTCAGAGAAGGAGCTCGTGTGATTTGGAGTTATGTTGATCGAATATTAGGACAACCGTCTCTGATCAGAGAATCTTCCCGAGGAAAATACCCATGGTCTGGACTTTTTTCACGTGCCAAGAGTTGGAGGACAGCTAAAGGAGGTTCTAGCTCCCAAAATACGAATGAATTTGGAGATGTTATTTTACACCCTTCTCTTCAGAAGCGAATTATGCAGTTGGCCAATGCAACAGCTAATACAAAAGCTCATCAAGCGCCCTTTAGGAACATGCTCTTCTATGGACCTCCTGGAACTGGAAAGACTATGGCTGCTCGAGAGCTTGCCCAAAAATCTGTACGTTAGCAACTTCTTTTTATAAATCATCCATTAAACTGATGTCTTACACTGGTTTCTAAGTTTTATCTTTTAGGACCTGTTCTGAGTAGAATCATTATAAAGCTTGTGGTCATGTTCTTATATCGGTTCTCTTTATCTTCGTTGAAATTCAATTAGCTGCCAATCTGATTTTCTCTTACAACTGTTTCATACAGGGTCTTGACTATGCTCTAATGACTGGAGGAGATGTTGCGCCACTCGGTTCTCAGGCTGTCACGAAGATACACCAATTGTTTGATTGGGCTAAGAAGTCCAACAAGGGTCTGTTACTTTTCATTGATGAAGCAGATGCATTCTTATGCGAGTAAGGAACTTGCCCCTGAGAAATTACTTTAGTATCCGTTATGTATGTACGTATTTTACACTTATTTCTCATTGAAAGTCAAACAAATGTTTTTTGCAGCGGTAGCTTACATTCATTCACAATATGTTGTTCTTAGCCAGAATCCATAGATGTAGAGATTGACTAGTTTAAGATGTTGTAAGTAAAAGCATGACTTCTGAAAAGTTTTGGATATTTTGTCCGTTCACTCATCGAAAAGAAGATTCAATTAGTGTCCAAGTAGGATATGTTCAATTATATCGTCAAGTCTCAATCTTAGTTTGTTGTCTGCTAGTATTTGATGCCCCATACTTAATTTCTATCATATGTATTACGAGTATAAACTAACTTCTTATATCTCATATCACAGGCGGAACAAAACTTATATGAGTGAAGCTCAAAGGAGTGCACTGAATGCACTTCTATTTCGCACTGGCGACCAATCCAAGGATATAGTCCTTGCTCTTGCCACAAACAGACCTGGTGATCTTGATTCGGCTGTGGCGGATCGTATTGATGAGGTTCTTGAGTTTCCTCTTCCTGGTGAAGAAGAGCGCCTCAAGCTACTAAAACTTTATCTCGACAAGTATATAGCACAAGCTGGGGCTCGAAAGCCAGGATTGTTTTCTAATTTGTTTCAAAAGCAGCAGAAGAAGATCGAGATCAAGGGCCTGAATGATGATATTCTTAAGGAAGCTGCAGCAAAGACAGAAGGATTCTCCGGGAGAGAGATAGCAAAACTAATGGCTAGTGTTCAAGCAGCAGTATACGGCAGCGAGGACTGTGTGTTGGACCCGAATCTCTTCCGAGAAGTGGTGGATTATAAAGTGGCTGAGCATCAGCAAAGGAAGAAGCTAGTGGCAACTGAAGGCTGAACATTGAGATCGAGACAAGAAATTCACATATTTTTAAGGTTGTTTTCTGATCCGCCCTTGTAATTTAGGCGACATCCTACAAATCCATTGATAGTCGATCTAATTCTTTTCCCTCCTACGGGTCGAGGAGGAGGAGGAGGGAGTTTTGGTGACTTTAGCCTAGAATTCATGATCATGGTAAATGATTAGCAGCTGACTTACGACGAAAATAATGGCATTTCATTCTGTTTGTGTTCTATTCTTTAACACAGGCATGGAGGAGAGGTATGTCCCATCTCCAACGGCTGTCTATCGTGCAGGCGATTCGATTACTGTGATTGAGGAAATCGTGTCTGTTGCCATTGAAGGTTTGAGGTTATTAGAATGGTAACAGATTGAGGTCTTTATTCAATTTTGTTGGGATAATACTTATATGGAATTTGTTAGATCTGACATAATGAATTTCATGTGAAACAGATTGATTTTTTTTTTTGGGCTTGTCACTGTTGGTATGCAATGCACCATTTATCATATGTTAGTTTTGACAGGAACTGTGGATAAGTGTCTTAGATATGTTTTGGAATTTTAGATGGTTTTGGAATAGTTAGAAGTTGAATAGGATATAGGTTTTCTTCTTTTCTTTTTTAGTTAGAAGTTGAATATGTTGCTTATAAATTTTTGAGACACTCTATAGTTTGTAAATTAGATCAGTTAAGTCGCACTAAACGAAACTAATTATATATGATGGACAAGATTTAGAGATATCGGTGGTTTGAATTCAAGACTTTAAGACTAAGACCATTAGATTATTTCTTATGAAAATTATGTATTGTTTTAATGTGTGTCTACTATATTTTTTAATAATATGAATAAGAAATTGTTCTAACTAAATACACTAAGGGTGTATTTGTCTGAAGGATTTGAAAGTATTTACACTGTCACTGATCGTAGAACTTCGAAAGCACGCTCAACATCTTTTCTACAAGACTTTGTTTATGTGCAAAAAGCTTTTTTTTTGGACCTCGTGGATCACGGATAGTTTGCATAAGAGTAGTTCACTTAGAATAAATATCATCAGCAAGATAATACTTTATATTGTATTCTTTTCCTTCAAGGGTATAATGTGCAGAGGAGCAATACCTAGAACAAGATTTGAAAACAAGTGCGATGATTCTAAAACATTAATGTCATTATTGGCACCTGGCATACCAAAATATGCATGTCAAATCCAAAGATCATAATCAGCCACAACTTCGAGAATAATAGTTGGTGATCCACTATGATCTGCATATTGACCTGCGAAAGCCGTAGAACAATTTTTCCACTTCCAATGCATACAATCTAAACTTCCCAACATACTTAGAAAACCATGAGATTCTCCAATATGAAGCAACTTTGCAATATCATTAACATTAGGATGTCGAAGATATTTAGTTGAAAAAATTTCAACGACGGCACGACAAAATCTCTTAACACTTTCAATTGTTGTTGATTCATCAATTTTAATGTTCTCATCAGTTGAATCTGCAGGTACACTATATGCTAACACCCGAAAAACAACAGTTACCTTTTGTAAGGTTGACAAGCTCTACCAAGACCATCTCTCCATTGTTGAAAATACGGATCATGATCTTTAACCGCATCAACAATACGAAGAAACAGATTTTGAGAGATTCGAAATTGTCGACGAAACATTTTTTCATTATATAAAGGATTATTTGAAAAATAATCATTATATAAATTACGATCTGAACTTTCACAATCACGATTAATTACTCGAAGACCTGGGATAGAGCCTCGATGGGTTGATTGAGATGGATTGAGTAACTGTTCCAAATAAGCATTGTTTTGTATCAATATGGAGATTGCTGCTTCATCCTCTTGAAAGGACTCCATGAAAATTCTACTCACTTCTTCATCATCTGACGATGAAGAGTTAGTCATGCTGAAGAAATAATATTGTTTTGATAAGTGAATATAAGTTTGATGAATAAACTTTCATTGAATGCCAACTAATTTATAGAATTAAAATTTTATATAAAATATAATTATACGAGAAATATTTGGATAATATAGATATCTATCCAACGGATGAAATGAAGATGAAATCCAAATGAACGTTAATGATTGCTCGGATATGGATAAATGGATTTTTATAATTTATAATATATAATAATTGATTGGATAATATAGATATCCAATCCAACGGATGAAGTGAAGATGAAATACAAACGAACGCTTATGATTGTTGTGACATGGATAAATGAATTTTTATAATTTATAATATATAATAATTGATTGGATAATATAGATATCCAATCCAATGGATGAAATGGAGATAAAATCCAAACGAATGCTCATGATTGCTCTGACGTAGATAAATGAATTTTAATAATTTATAATATATAAAAATTGATTGGAAAATATAGATATCCAATCTAACGGATGAAATGTAAATGAAATCCAAATGAACGCTCATGATTAATTTGACATGGATAAATGAACTTTTAGAATTTATAATATATAATAATTGATTGGATAATATAGATATCCAATCCAACGGATGAAATAAAGATGAAATCCAAACGAACGGTTCATATTGTTTTTGATATAGATAAGTAGATTGTTATAATATATATATATAGTCAAATATAATATAAATAATTGAAATTGGTCAAAAAAGTGTTTTGATCAAACGGCTAGGGTGTTGTGAAATCTAAATGAACGTCTGAGATTAAGTTTTAAAATGGATAAGATTTGATATCTATCCAAAATTTGTCTATAAATACATGTTTCCACTTTTTGAATTATTGCACCAAAATCACTCACTTTTCATTCTAATATAACAAAAGTTTATCAAAATTTCTTCTCAAAATGTCCATCCAAGGTGGTGGTTATAGTGTCATGATAAAGATGTGTTGCTATGCCAACATTACTTAGATATATCGCAATATCCAATTACCGGAAGGCAGCAATCTAGGGATCAATTTTGGAATCGAACATACAACCAAACTAAAAATCCTGATTGGGAGATACGTAGTGCAAGATCTGTACAAAATCGGATCAAAGCCATGGAGATAGCGGTTCGAAAGTTACTTGCTTGTATCAAGAAAGTAGAAACTTTAAAACTCAGTGGAGCTTCAGAGATGGATATTGTAAGTCATTTCTTAAATTTATTGTTAATATATATAGCTTGAAAGTTCTATTTGTAACATTAAAATCTTGTTTGCAGTTAAATCAAACAAATGAGATACTAATGAAGGAAGATGCAAGTTTTAAAAAAGGTTTTAAATTTGATCATGTTTGGAATTTGTTAAAAGATTTTGAAAAATTTAATGATCATAATAAAATACCTCAAAAAAATAATTCCACTCATGTATCATCATCGTCGGATAACACTGTTTTTGAATCTCCTGGAAATTCATCATTTTCTATTAACTTAGACGATGATGAGAGTAGATTAAATTTAAATTATAATATTAGTGGGTCTTGATATGAGCGCCCCATAGGGTGAAAAAAGCAAAGCAGCAGAAGAAAAATAAAGATAAAAAGATGCTCATGTTAGTGAAGTTAAAAAAACAAAATTCAATGGTTCTGAAAATACTGCAAAAATCAAATTTGCACAGGCAAGAATTTTTGCAACTGGAACGAGAGAAATTAGTATTTAAAAGAATGGCATGCGAGAAAAAAATTATGAATATGGACTTGAACGCTATTTCTGATCCTGCTCAGCGTGCTTAATACCAGCTCAAGAAAGATGAAATTTTACAGAAAAGAACAATAGAATTTCAAGGATCAAATCCACAATCTTCTTTGAATATGTTTTCTCAATATTTCAATGATATTAGTGGAGATGGAAATGCTGATATTCCTCCGTATTAGATCAGTATATTTTAATATTTTATGCAATTGTATTTTATCAATGTAATTTTTTTTATGCAATTTGTTTTATGTAATTTGAATTATATCAATAGAATATTTTATATAATTTGCATAATATGCAACGTGCTTTTGTATTTTAATTTTATTTGCTAAATAATTTTATAACATATATTATTTTCAAGTTTAAATATATTTAAATTTAAATTTAAATACAAACATATCGTTTTTTAATAATTATACATACATATTATAATTTTTTTTTTGTGGAAAATATATAAAATAATTAATTTTAAAATAAAAAATTAAATATAAGTTTTTACAAAGTAAAATTACACCTTAATTTTAAAAAATAAAATTACATATCACTTTTAAAAATAAAATTATATATTATTTTCCAAAAACTAAAATTATATCACTTTTAAAAGATAAAATTATACATTATTTTTTTTAAAAAAAATAAAATTACATATAAATTTTTAAAATATAAAATTATATATTATCTACTAAGAATTAAAATTACACAATACACCAAAAAAATACAAAAAAGATAAAAAACACCACAAAAACAGTAACACCGTTACTCCATTTTTGGAGTACATGGGGGGGGGGGGGTTGGATTGGAGCCAAAAAAAAATTTTGACCTATAAATTATACTCCTCCGTCCCACATACCATATCCACGTTGCCTCGTTTCTGTCCGTCCCTTTCCTTTTTTAGAAAATGCTTACACACTTTAATCTCATTTTAAACTTTTTAATTTTATTTTTTTAAAAAATTTTAATTAAACTAATTAGTTATCTTAATCTTAATTTATAATTATTTATATTATCGAATAATTATTTTCACTAATACATTCTTAATTATCTATTAATTATACCCCTCCTAAAATACCGTATCTACAGTGTAGCAGACACGGTACGTGGAACGAAAGGAGTAATTTTTTATCGGTGAAAAAAATTCAGTCAATTTTTTTTTTAATTTTCCTTTTATAATTTTGCTGATAAAATGTAAAAAAATTTTAGTCATTTTTCTTTTCTTTCGAAAAATTTATACTCTCACATAAATCAATACTCATCATAAAAAAAAATTATAATTTCTTTTTTCCAGTCAATTAGTTTTTTTAAAATAATTATTTTCCATTTATTTATTTATTCATTTTACAATTTTGACTGATAAATTGTTAAAAAAATTAATTTTGACAGTACACTGACATTTTACTACCAGAAAATGTTACCTATGCTTTGTAAAATAATTTCAGAATTTAATCTACATCCGAGACAATTTTTTAAAAGTTACGGAATTTGCTTTGGAATGACGTCCAAGGAATAAAACTCATTCCCCTTTTAGTGGTCTCGGAAATTCAGAGGCTATTAATAACTTCAGAATTTCCGAGACCGCATCCGAAGCTGCTGTCATCTCCGGTGTATTCTCTACTTGTTTCGAATTTTCTGAAGCAAATTTTAATTATTTACAAAAAAGATATATTCAAAATCGTGTCATCAGAAAAATTCTCCGGCGACCCGGGACGCCGGTTTTCCCCCATCCTCCAGCAGCGGCGGCAGTGGGCTTCGATTCCGGTGGCAAGAGCGTGAGTTCCGGCAGCTGCATCTCCGGGGGGGAAAGTGGCAGCGGGATTCTACGGCTCCGGGTTGATACTTCGTTTACGGCGGAGGAGTGGCAGCAGGCTTCGATTCCGGCAACAGCTGCAGCTCCGGAGGAGAAGTGGCGGAGGGATTCAATTTCGGTGGCAGCAGCAGCTCCGGCGGAGGAGTGGCGGCGGGCTTCTTCGATTCCGGCTGAAATTTCATTTTCGGCGGAGGAGTAGCGGCCAGCTTC